CACATCGCGTATAAACTTCAGCTCACGCTCGGTCGGCTCATTAGGAACACCGCGTATTTGGATAAGAGCTTTCTCACGTGCTTTCAAACAGACCTCAAAGCTTTGACCATTCGCACGTGTTCGCGAAAGCCGACTGCCTGCCTGCCTGCCTGCCTGCCTGCCTGTCTACCCGCTTGCCGAGGACGAAACAGCGGAGAGTTGCAATTAGGATCTGCTCGTTGAATTGGGATCGCGGATAAAAGTTCTCTGAGGAAGGATCGACACATTGATTTTACATCGATGGACACATCGTGGACGTTTTAATTCAAGCAAATAAAGATTCAAAGGGGAATTTTTTCAAATTACCACGACGAGCACTAATTAAAGCGTCGAGCAACAAGAAAATCTGATCATGTCAAACAAATATTGTATTATAAAATATTTTTTAAAATAATTTAGTGATTAAAGATTAATGAGAAGGTATGCGGATTTATATCTTCATTATTTTTTATCTCTACGTTTTTTATTTACGATGTGATTTTATGTAAACGTTCTTTTATTCGCGTGCTTTTATTTCCATTTAAAATCTCATGTAACTTTTATTTCTGCTTCTCATTATATGAATACGTATATCGCATAATTGAATTAGTCTGCAAACTTAATGAAACTATGATCTATGCCGGAGATTTGTTCAATTATTAATTAGAGTTAACGCGCGTTACATCCGGCGGTTCGATTAAAAGCAATTTTCTTTCGCAGCGACCGCACGGCCCAGTTTTATTTTGTCGATATTTCATTATCATCCGTAATTAATATTTGCTCTGCACCGTTCACCAACGCGTATCTCGCTCGAAATTTTTATTTGTCTTAGCGATCGGAAAATGTGCGTACGTTTTCGTCAGATATATTCCAAAACCAGCACGACTATAAAATAACGGGGATTATGCTTTGTTGAGATCCGTTAATGAGACCTGTTTATTTTTATTAATACTCAAAAGGATATTTATATAATTAACAAATATTACACTAATTATGACGACGAATTAATTATTTAACAATAATTATAATAACTGCTTACATTCTTTTTGTTAAATAGACAATATCTTTAGAAAAGTTTAGAATTTGATGAGCCAGCAGAATAATCAACTTGTGATAATGTGAATTTAATCTTTGATGTTTTTAATTAATAATTGCGTTCGACTAACAACTAAAGATTTTATCGAGGATTTTGTAGTAGTGAAAAATTAAATTATCACGGACTGGAAGTCTAGATAGCCAGCCATCAGCGTTCTTTCAGTTATGGTGGATGACTTTTTATATACTGATATGCAAAGGATTATATTTAAAAATAGTATTAAGCTTTTAAACGTAAAAAGTCCGGATTGCGACGTGACGGTTGATATCCTACTTTCAAGCGAGTAAAAATCGGTAAGCGAGATGAAATTCCGGGTTTGCTTGAAGCTTCTATCTAATTATTCATGAAATATTGATTGTCGAACGTTCCGTTTATACGGGAATGAAAAACTTCATTTTTATTTTAAAAGAAGTATTATCGTTAATCCTCTCACGTTGCTAGATTTTTCATGATGCGGGAATAATTATTTTTCCAATACTTTATGTTAAAATATACTCACATAGAAGATCTTTGATGAAGTTGTAGAATTTTGTTAGTGCGTTGATAACTGTATTATATCTACATTTGTACACAGATAGCACAATGCTAAAACATATAACAATAAATCAATGATACGAACAGCCAGTCATATGACATGAAAAACAATTTGTTTTATTGCTACTAATATTATTCCGGACATATACAGAATTTTGAAATATTTCACATAAACGACAAATGCAAATATTCATAATTTATTTCCAGCTTCCTTCGAAACGTGCGTTATTTATCGTGATGCTAACTGCCACAATTATTTTGTCAATTAAACATGTTTTGCGTAAATCAATGGATTTCGAGTGTTATAAATTATTGACATTGTTCTGGTTATAATTTTCATATTTTCTGAAACATCAGAATGCGATTATTCCCACCGTTAAAAATGCAAATTCGTGGAATCTCTCTCTCCCTTTCTCAACTATCTCTATATCCGGTTGTAAATTTAAAAATATAATTAAAAAAATGTACAAAACACGGAGTATTTATTATTAAAGATGTAACGGTATATCTCGTCGAATTTGTGGAAAACGACTTTCGTAGTTTCTTCGACACACGTGTAAAAGAAAGATACACGAATTTTAAATCAGATTTAAAAATTTTTTTACTGTTTTAATAAAATTTGATTTTTTCAAATTGTACATTAATTACAATAATTCTTTCGTGAAACATGTAACATGCGTAATATCTTTATTCAAAGATATTACGCATGTTACATATCGTCATTTCCGTTATGTCAGTATGTTCTAGGATGGTAGAAGCTTGACTGTAATTTTTGCTGATGTTTTCTTTATGCAGGAGGGAGTAACTTGAATCCAAATGCGCGCGGATGCAGACGCAAAGGAGTTGAATTGGAGCAAAGAAGCCGAGGTAATCGGAGCCGCAAAGGGGAAACTACGCGAGTATATCCGATCTAGCCAGCCGCGCCGTAGTAAACGCGGGGCACACGAAAATTCTCGAGCAGGTCACGTTGCTCAGTCAACAGAAACATAATTTAAAGTTAATATTTCCTAGGAGGTACGCTGAAAGACTGAGATAGGTACGGCGGAGTAGTCACGGACGTCTAACGTGGATCGCCGTTGTCTCGTCATGCAGAAACGAGCTTCGCGGCGGGCACGTGACGTGAATTATATCTCGCAAGCCGGGGTGGTGTATTAGCCAGCACGTGACACGGCGAGTACAATATACTCGGGCGAAATCATGCAAAGGCGAGAGGCGTACTACGAGCACAAACATCCGTTACTCGGCTCGTCTGACTATACGTTGGTTTTTTTCACTGCGCCGCCAGCCATCGAAGGGAGTTCGAGTCGAATCTTTTTACTGTCTGCGCGAGCGTAAGGTCGTACTACTGACTAAGTTCAGTCACCGCGAGGGGTGAGTAAATATGGATGTTTGTGTTCCTCAAACATCTCAATCTGCGTAACTGTCTACTTCATCTATCTACGGGAGGCAGGTGAGGAAGAGGATCATTTTTCTACAAAATTCTACCGTATGCAGGGACTTAAAAGCGAGCAGCGCGAAGTCGAAAGTGGCGCGCGTCGGGATTTACGATCGTGGCGCCCCGGCTTCCCTCGAATATAGCGAGCAGGCGCAAAGGCACGGGGATGGTCACATACACACGCGAAGTGTGCTCCAAGTTCTCGCACGAGGTCTCGTCAGGGAGGTTAGCTCCCTTCCTCTCTGCTGTATCGAACTCGGCTGGACACCTTCTCCCCTTTGACGGCACCCTCGGCGGACCACGGCGACCGCGAGGGTCTCTTCTCGTAGCGGGGCCGCTCGCGCGGGCTCGAGTTCGTCTCGTGACGACAAATGCGACGGGAAAACGCGCGGCGCGAGACGGGGCGTGCAATTTTAGCGGGGATTGCTCTGCCAGTCGGCGTGGATTTTCCGGACACTGAGATTTGTCTCCGGCGAGAGCCACCTCACCCCCAAGAGGCGCTGCCGACCTCCGATATTGATTTTCCGGGGGAAAACAGAATAGAGGTGTATCTACGATATTCCGACTTCAGGATAGAAAGGAAGAAGCGGAGAGAAGGGAAGGAGAATGATCCTTCCATCCTTTATTTTTCTTCCTTCATATTTCTCTTCCTTCTCTCTCTCTCTCTCTCTCTTCTTCTCTCTCTCTCTCTCTCTCTCTATTATTTTCGCATTTGTTATTTTTTGTTTTCATTGCGATAAATGATTCTATTTTATCTTACGAAAAAATTATTACGTACGGATTTACTGAGCTTTGCATTTTCGCAAGCGTTATTAAAACCATGTATTGTGTACGTCATTTTGTAGATTATATTGTGCCATTTTATGTTTTTGTTAAAACTCGCGAGCTACTAAATTACGTCAAATAATTCTAACAAAATTGGCGCACGCGGACGCCGTTTATACGGTCAAAGTCATAAAACGATAAAAAATTTATTTCCGTACCGTTCCAGGGAATCGTTTTTTTCTCTGTACATTTGCCGCATTATTACGAATGCGTCACCAAATTATTATCAAACATTTGTCCGTTAATGCTCCAAAAATAGAATATTCAACGAAATATCTGCCTCACTGTTTTTCTCATAAATATGCATCCCGGTATAATTATATTGGACAACAATGAAACGTTTTTTTCATTCAAGCTTGATTATACGATTTAATATAATGCATTTTTCAGCGTTCATATCCTTTATAAAACAGGAGATGTTAAGTCGATTACTCGCATTTCTCGAAGTTTATTGTTGCCGCTTTTCCGCGATGCTGATTGGTTCTTTTGCTGCGCTAATTTCGTGACTTACTGTCAATTTGCAAATGACAATTTGTAAAAAGCGGGCAAGGTTAGTAGCGAATGAAACTTTGAATCGGTTTTGAACAGGGATAAAGATAAGATGAACAAGAATGAATGTTTCTATTTTTCATCAGTTTCTATTTTTCATCACGACGATACGTCGCTACCATCAACGAATAATATAAAAATATATAATATGAAAAGCTTAGCATAGCGCGTGCCTGTTATGTTCTAGTTTTGCAAAAAAGAGACAATGGGAAGAACCGATGTGCTTAAATTCTGTTGTTGTATTTTATGAGACGTTATCAGATTAAGCAATAGTCACCGCGGTTCGTTCGTTCTGCGATTAAAAACGCAGATTATTCAAAGATCTCCGCAAGATAATAATCGCGTAACTCGACACGCAACAGGATGAGAAAATACAGTTTTCAGTTGCTTCTGCTTTCGAAATGAGAAAAAAAAGGAAGAAGAAATAGTTACGTTAATAGTCGAATCACTCTCCACATTTGCGCAAGATTCAAGAACCCTTCCGGATTTATGGGGCTGCCAAACTTCTCTGCCAAACCGATGTTCTCTGCGAACAATACTTAAACCGTTCCTGTCTCTCTCGGGAAATGGTTTCCGCGGCGTTTCCATGCAGGATGGAAATTTTTCAAAAAAACCGTCGGTTAGGAAGACTAACGGGATGCATCCGCGGATTCGCGCTCACATCTCGCCTGTCGTCGCCCTCGAGTCTGTTTTCCACCCTTTTCCCACCGGGGAAGTGTTCGCGCGTAACAGCGACCCGATTTCCTTTCATCCGTCTCGATTCACGAGAGGCGAGGATGGCGAAGGGCCCAGCCCCGTGTACATACCTCGTCCGCGTGACGGATCACATGGTCGGATCGCTGACACGTGGAATATCACATTGTCATCCCTCTCGCATGAGCGAGCTCGAGCAAGCGCGAGATATCAATTCTTAGCTGCCGAAGTGGAATCCGATGTTCGCTCGTGTTAAAACCTTCCAAAAAGTAGCGGATGAACTTCTCAATCCTGAAAAATGTGGATCGTCGTTTACACCGATCTTTTAATAAAAGTACAAGCCTGTGGCTCTACGACATTCAAAAGATCCCTTATCTAAAATATATTAAATATACGCCAGTCGTACATTTATTAAATTATATATTTTTGTTCTATTATTATTATTTTACCGCGTCATTTAAATAACGGCTAATAGCGACGTAGCGATTTTTTTCGGACGCGGATTTTCGACTTTAAAATCCTCTTACGTCGGGCAGAAGAATGTACTCAGTGTTTCCAGTTGTGTCTTCGTTAAGATTGGCCATCTTAATGTAGGACGCGACTACTTGATCTTTCGTCGCTCTGGGCAAGAAGTAATTCTACCAGGTTTGTCTTAACGAGCCATACGTCCTCTTATTTACAAGAGTCCCGTGCACTCGGGCTCGGTCGTGAATGACTGAAATAGAAGAGCTTACTTGAATTAATGACGGTCGTGTAAGCCGAACGATACTTCTCGTCTCTTTCTCGTATTTTTATTTTTACGAGACTCGCACAGATATTTTTAATTTACCGTGATTAGATGAATCATGTCAAATTCGTGTTATTTTATTCATCGAGTCTACTTATCATATTGTATCTGTTTATAATATAATATTTATATGTACAATATTTATACGTAAGCTTCATAGATAACATACATATTTGTCGTAAATTATAAATAAGGAGTGAAACTATTCGCTGTTTTACGCTGAATTTGATCTGCGACACATCATAATTTTTTTCATAATTTTGTTCCAAATTAACTCTCCGCGATATTTTTATTCATTCTTGAAATTAGCTAGAATATCGATGGCGATTAAAGTGCACACGAGCTGTGAATTTCATGTCGGACTTCTTGCTCACGCAGGATTATAATGTATAATTCAGGTAGCGGTTCGGCACGTTCAAAAGTTGCTAGCCCGCGTAAGACACGCCGTACTATGTAGAGACGTGCCGTAAAATTAAAATTAAATTGCGAGATTGTTAATTAAAACTTAACTCTCGTTTAGAGTTCGTTTAATTTCGTCTAATTTCGTTTCTCAGAATTGCAAAGTGTCAATTACAGTTTCGTGGTAAATATAACTGTTAAGAAAGAAAAGAGGAAAGGCAGAAGTCGTCGGGGAAGTCAACGGGGAAAGTTTTCCTGCCTTGTCGAAATCACCTCGGTCCTCGGGAGGGATTACAAGTAGGCGGGTTGTTGCGGGGTGTATGGTAACTGAATGCGGACCATCCTTGAATTCGCCCCCCTGACAAATTAGTGCGAGAAGAGGTCGCCGGCCGTCTCTTTCGCGTGAACATCCCCTCGCGCGGCTCCACGTGGGTTCGCGAAAGAATTTAAATGGTAATCCGGGAATAAGTGCCACGGTCGAGAGGGGAGCGAGATTTCCATGTTACCGCCCTCGTCAACCTTCGTTCCCGAAGAAGTTGTAACTTCTCGCGTTTAAGTCCCGTTTTGCCGTTGTAATCACGGAAAATGCGCGGGGTGTGAGAAGCCGCGTTTTAAATCTTCGTTCTCGCGTAACATCGACACGACTTACAGCTGCGATTTATGCGCGAAATATGAAATTTTAGAAACATGGAACACGTGAAAATCCATTTCCGACGCCGCACATATCAGTCAGCAAAATACGGGCTATCGATCAGCGAGTTTGACGCCGCCGCCCGTGGAAGTGCAATAAGTAAGGCGGGCGAATTGAAACAAATTTAATAAGAGCACTGCACGGTGGTTAGAGGGAAGGGACAAGGGAAGGGGTGGTTGTGGATAGTTCGAAACTCGATATTAGCTCGCCGCGCAGCAACTTTTGAACGTGCCGAACCGCTACTTGAATTATACATTATAATCCTGCGTGAGCAAGAAGTCCGACGTGAAATTCACAGCTCGTGTACACTTTAATCGCCATCGATATTCTAGCTAGTTTCAAGAATGAATAAAAATATCGCAGAGAGTTAATTTAGAACAAAATTATGAAAAAAATTATAATGTGTCACAGATGAAATTCAGCGTAAAATAGCGAATAGTTTCACTCCTTATTTATAATTTATTTTACAAATATGCATGTTATCTATGAGGCTTACGTATAAATACATATAAATGTTATATTATAAACAGACACAATATGATAAGTAGACTCGATGAATAAAATAACACGAGTGACCATTAACTAATCGTTAACGCTTCAGAATCCAGAATGCGAGCATACATATTCACTATGATAATCATAATATTCTAATATTAAACATTCATTGAATTTAATATTTCATAATAGTTTTGAATCCGCGGCAAATTGAATATCTAGATAGAAGTAATATCGTGAGCGCGTGCTTGCCATAGCGCCGGTTTTCAGACGGTATATTTCCACAATATAGAAACAAAAAAATAGTAATATCTGGCTTCTTTCTTCTATTCAAAATTGCAGTTTGCGTAGCAAGAATTTATTGGGAAGCTTATAACGCCCCGAAACATATTTTCGTCATAATTCGAAAGCTTGTGCAAGCAATTCTTGCGGATTAAGGTCTATCAACCAGATACTACAGACTTAATTTATACCACTCGATATTACTCGCGTTATCATTGTCGATTATGTTTTACATGCCGCGAGTAAGGATGAACTGGCCGATCGTTATTAACAGTCGGGTTTCGAGCGTAATGCCAACGCGTCAATCTGCATTAATGTCGACGAGTTGCGGTCACGATGTTATCAAACGAAGAGGATAGATTTGCAATCCGGATTTGCAATCACTCATTTATGTCAATGATTCATTTCGGTCGGGTCTTCTTTTTCAACAAATTTGCTTTAAGCAAATTCCTTATTAAAATTATTGCAATGAAAAAGCTGGCTAAATCTTGCTCTATTAAAATTTTTATAAATTTTTATAAACAATTTTTTTAAGTGATCTATAAATAAATAATCAATTAATATTTAAACGTATAACGTCCATAATTATTGTTGTATATTGTATAAAACAACGGGAAACACATGTTGCCCGTGTAGTCACTTTTGAATAATGCATTAATAATGATGCATTAGTAATGATAGCGTTTTCGCAGGTAAAAGTACGTGGGTGGTCCTCGCAGAACAAAAAAAGGGCGGACTCGACCGATTCTCCTTCCGACGTGGCATTCACCTCATTTTCATGTCACTCTTAGTCATTCCAGGTCAAACAAGCGACCGAAGATCCCTCGTGTCGTGTCGGGTCTCTCGCCCTTCCTTCTCTCCACGTCATTATTTTCTCATACATACAATTAGCGTGGGACTGTCCGTGAATTAGCGGCGTGACGTTTTACGACCGGAGGAGACGACAGTCGTCGCAAATGGTTGCTCGTCCGAAAGACACCTCGTGTTCAGCGAGCATCATGTGTCTGCGCGAAGGTGTCTTCAATTACACACGAACGCAAAAGAGTTGTCTAACGCATCATTTTCGAGACGAGCCAATTTCGCGTCGTTACTCTCTCAATTACGGACTATTATCGATAGCAATCAGGGCTATTATTATCAGCGCAATTTTTCAACTTTATCGAATCACCCGCTGGAATACTAAGTCTCGTACGCGATTGTCTATTTCTGTCTCTTTTCCTCGGCGGTTGTTATTTTATTCGCGTTTTCATCCTGAGAAACCTCCAAAGATAAATGATTCCGATATTGTCGATGGCCCACGTGCGATGTCACTTCCCGCTGCAGTTTCATGGTGCACGCACATCGGCACGATCACCCTCATTAGCGTTTATAGCATTCGGTTGTGCGATGAATTAGTGTTATTAGACGTCGCCTAATATACCTACCGGAAGCTTTGTCATCCCTGCAACAGGTGGTTACATCGAAACGTGAGCTATCACACGCGCAATTCACGCCGAAGAAAAGATGGTTGCTGGATGTACGCTAGACTTTCTTTCCGTCCATAATATGCGTCTTTTTACAAATATCGGCCGCAAATGGTTGACGCCATTGTAAACATCTAATGGGACATCTCTATTTCGATAATGATAAATCTGTACTAAAAAAAAAAAAATCTCCTACCGCAGCACTGCGATTCCTTTTACACCGATCGATAAATTCATTCCAAATACAGAACTGACATGTATTCTCGTTTCGGTTGGAATATTCCTATGCTATATCAGTTCATTTTCAACTACGAATCTATGATCATCAATCATTGATATCTGCCAATTATTACGCTAATGGTCCCTGTAATCACCAGGGATGTATCCGGCGATTGTTCTCTCTCTAATATATCACGCATAGTCGCATGAAATGACCGTTAGATTATCCGTTAAGTCAAAGGGATCCATGAATTCGGTTAAACGATCCCTCGTACACATGCGTAAATAATTAATGCTAATTTATACTCAATTCGGACGTATTTGTTCTTAATCCCGAGCGTCGGAGACACCTTCGGATATTCTCTTTCTCAACAAGCGATTTAGTTCTCCTCGCTTCATAAAGTGAAATTACAATTTGATTTTGTTACGTTCGTGATTTCCTTGCGGGAACGATCTCCTCCTTCGTCTTAATTGCTACCAAAGTGATCAAGAAGCGGAACGTTTTGAAGCGGCATCTAATTATCCTATAGAGCTCGTGAACAGTAATTCGATAATCGCGGTCAAATTTGCCGAGGTCTGTATATTCTTGGTTGCTTGCTTTCACGGTCACGGCTCTTGATAATTAGATCAACATTAAGTAAATCGCGGTCGTTCTATTTATCAAAAATTTTGCTCTTGTTATTTATCTTTTCAGGCGTTTGAACGTGGTCGCCGAGTGGAACTCTCGATTGGTGAACTCGAATGTCGCCTGAGTTTGATGCACGCAGGCTGCGAGAAAAAGCTCGATAGCCCGAAAAATTCGCTCAACTTTGACTTTACGCCCGTAAAAGTTATTAACAAAATTAATATAAAAAAATAGCGATTTGTGTATATAATACAATTAATTCAATTACATTCGTTCGTAGATTGAAAAAATGATTTTGTTAAAGTGTCTCTAAAGAAGACGCTCAAGCAGGTTGCTAGAATATCAACAATTTATGTCTTTTAATATTATTAGCATTATTAGGTTAAGAGTCCTATATAACTATTTTGATGATCTATGAAAATTATTTTCAAATCTATATGCGTCTAAATTTTTAAATATTTTAACAAAATGATCTTTTTCACGCAGGTTCGATCGCGAGGTACATTTTTCGCGCCGTCTCGGCACATCGCGTGGTTCGAACGATTAAATCGAACCGTCGACTTTCGGTCGCGCGATTTCTTCCTCCAGATTTGCCATTCGTTTCCGCGCAAACGGCAATTCTGCGTGTGTAAAACGGGTTTCGATCGGGGACACGGATGATCCCTGCTTATTGAATCGATTCGCGCCCACGGTACTTTGTGCGTTTAACACGCGAGTAACTTCCCTCCGCGCTATCGCATAATGTGTATTTATGCTAACGGCCCGGCCCGTCGGTGGTGCATATCATGGCGTTACACATGCACCGGGTCGTAAATGTAAATGTGCACCGTGCCCAACGTGCACTCGATCATTCGTATGCATCGCGCGATTCGCGGTATTCGCGCGTTAAGCAGACTCCGTTTAAGTCGTTTACGCGCAACAATCCGATTTCCCAAATCGAAGCGTTTTATTCGCCGCCCGCTCCTCGACACTTGCCCTCTTCTCTCGCCCTCTCTCTTTTTTTTTTATTATTTAACTAGCGTCGCGTGAGTAACCGCAAATATCAAGAATAGCGGGCCATACAGCCATCCGTCTATTCGTGGAAAGCGCACGCGATAGGCAATAACGCTGTTTGAAATATTTACATGGTATCATCCGGCAAATTACACGTCATACAAATACGTCATGTGTACGGGTGACGGTTTGTTTACAGTTAAAGAATTATTTGCTCTCAACGGCTCGATAACGCAACGATACAGAAAGCGTGTCGTGCAGCTCAATTTTTTTTTACGATATTTCGACTGGAAAAAAGAGATCGGAGTATCGCGTGGTCATTTCATTCAAAAAGAGATTTTACGCTTTTTTGCCGGGCTGCTTTTTTTTAAATGTAATTTAGTTTTGCGCAATTTAAAGTGAAATACAATGTATGAGTTAAATTTAGAGTTCTTTCTTGAGCTTTTCAAAGTAACGAAAAACCATATATTTGTATCTTTTTTTCGCCTTTTGTCTCATATATCGGGTGATCCGCGCGGATATAAACCATCATGTTTTGTCGTACCCGAGAGGTGACTGAGTTCGGGACGCGAATCGTGTATATCCAAATTGAACGGGAAATTTAGTGGCCTGTTCCGCGAATCTCGGGTATCCTCATCGAAGCATCCCGTACTCCTCCTCCCATCCCTTCTTTCGATCGTGAAAGCCGAAACCCTCCCGTTTCAGGTGGCCGCTCGAAAATCGCGGAAACTCGCCGCTCGCGCTGTTGAGTGCCAATCAAGTGGAGGGACTCGAAACTGTCTGCGAACTGATGCCAAACCAATCGGAGTGTCGAAACGCGTCGCAACCAACGCAGGCCCCTTTGCCGTTACTTTTTCGCGACGTGTCATTTCGACTCTTGTCATTCCACTCCTGCACGGTGGACATGCCATTGACTCGTCATTTCTCCTCTGTGGTACCATCGGCTTACCATTTCTCCTTTTTTTTTGTACCGAGTATCGATTATTCGCATAGTTTCGTCGGTTGATGTTTATTCATTTTACTGTCATTTACCGCGATAGCGCGGTTGACGAACAAATAAAAAAAAAATGTATATATATTTAGATATATGGTTTATTAATATAATGTCTTTGTAAAATCTAATTAATTGGAAAAAATTAAAATTAATAGCAATCTTTAATAAAATCGCTAAGGATCATGTGCTTACTGATAATCATTCATTAATAAAAATTAATTAGAAAAAGGAAAAATATTAATAAACCGTGTAAGCATTTTTTTCTAAATCAAATTATCTTTCCTTTAAATTAAATTATTATTATAATTATAAATTTTATAAAATCTTTAAATTTTGATGTTTAGAGAATATAGATTCTTTAAATGTCAAAATCTAAAGATTTAGTAAAATTTCCTGTAATCACTGTACTTCTTAATTCTTCAGCATGGTTACAAATGCGTATAATTGTCCTTATTTAAAGTCTTTCTCTCGGGAGGCGCGGTTTTATTATGTGGGATATGTAATGGACAAAATGCGGCGTTATGTAATTGCGGTTAACACGTGCGCTCTGCGGTGCGCTCGCGCGAGGCACGAGGTATAAAACCAGTGCCACGCTCTAATCAACTCAGGCAAGTTAATCGGCTTGTAACGGCTTTATGACACATACGGTGTACTTTAAATAAGGCATGCTCGCGCCCGTTAACCGGACTAAATGCAAACGGATAGTTTGCAACATGCTCGTGCGCGCGCGCGCGTCCTGGAACCCCTTTGCAATTCCCGCCGCTCTCCGCGAAATGAAATTTTCGCGAGACAAAGTGAATGCTGGAGGGGAACGAGTTAATTGCGAATAGTTTAATAATGCGCAAGCTGCCCGACCGAGCGTTCATAATGGAACGCTTACGCAATGGTCACCGTTGCGTACCGTTCGGTCAATTATCGTTCGGCCGTGTAATTAGCAACAACGTTATTACAGTCTTTGATTG